GGAATTTAAGTATATGCTTTGGTTTTTTGGAAATTTTGTTTTGAATGGTGCAATGGATATTTTGTATTGTTTTGTTTTTTAAATTTTGTGTAGATTTAAAATTGATTACTAAACATTATGTCTGAATCTGTGAATCTACAAGATAGGTAGATTTAGTGTTGAAACAAGTAGACTTAGTGTTGAAACAAGTAGAAACTTATGAAGTACAAACTTAAGGTAGTTATATGTGTAATACTTACAAAATATGTAATTGTTAAACAAGTAGAAACTTGATTGCTGCTATTGCTTGATATGTTGCATTTTAGTATAATATTAATATATGTTTTATATTATTAGTTTTTAAGCTAGTTAAGTTAGTTATATACTACTAGGTTTTAAGAATATTAATGAGTTTTATGTTTGACATTATCGTTAATGATTTATAGGAACAAGAAGAAACAAAATTATGATTCTATCAATTTTGAAATACTTGGTGATCATTCTGATTGGGTGTTGGAGGATTCACCACCATTCTTAACCATTGATGAGGTGGAAGCACTACGCAAAGATCTTGCTAGTATGACAATCTAACCTATGTCAAATGATATTGGTATGATATTAGTTATTCTGATAACAATTTTTTTATTTTAATTTATTATTATATGTTAATTGTTTAATTCTCTAATTTATTTGTTGTTACAGATCAATTAAATTCGGATGAGGTTGATGTTGAGGATGATGCACAACTTAATTCTGGAGAAAACAACCAAAGTAATAATATCATTGATGGGGAAAATGTTGCAGATGCGATTGATTTTGCTGCAGATGGTTTTGATATTGAAGAAGGAGATCCCAATATTGAAATAATTTTACCTCCTTGAAACAAAACTTAAGTAGACATTGGAGTTATTTTGTTATAAATTATTCAATTATATTATGTTGCAATTAGACTTTATTTGCAATTAGACTTTGTAATTTTGTACTATTTTATTGTATTTGATATTTATGTTTAAAATTTGAATTTAAATTATGAACTTGAGAATTTATGATATGATATTTTCAAAAAAATTAAGTGCTAGTTATATTTTTTTAGAGACTGAATTATCCGGTTCAACCGGTTTTATACCTATATGGTTTTGTTATGATGACAGGTAGGGCTAGCAATGAATCGAACCAACTCGAAAATAGTTCGGAACTCGATTCGACAATTAAATCGTTGAACTAGGTTCATGAACCAAATGAGTTGAGTATGAGCGAAAAATTAAGTTCGTTAACTAAATGAGCTGAACTTGAACTATACATAGTTCGACTCATTAGGTTCATGAGTCAACTCGATTACATATGAGAAGAATTATACTGTCTTTAAGATTATGTTTAAATATTTACTCCAAATCTTAGACAAATTTAATCTTCAATTTAGTAGTTTTTGAATTAGACTCTCAAATGTATCTCTTGAAAGTTGTGTAGGTTTTGAATTAGTAGATTTCGAAGATAAAATTGAATTTCAATATGATAACTTTTATTTTATTTTAATATTTTATTTTAAAATATATATATTTATTTAAAATGTCAAATATACTAAAAAATATATATATTTAAAAAAATAGTTTTTAAGTCCGTGAATCATGTGAGCTGAACCTAATGAGATGAACCTAACGAGTTGAACCGAACTGTTCGTGAACTTATAATGAGTCGAATTTGAGCTTAAAAAAAAGTTCGTGTCGAACTCGAACTCGAACCAATTCTTAACGAGTCGAGCCGAGCTGAGGTGAGTTCGACTCGACTCGACTCATTTCCAGCTCTACAGGTCTATTCAACTGAGTTATCCGGTTTAATCTGGTTTGGTCATGCGGTTCGACCAGTGACCCAGTGGTTCAACCAATAAACCAGTGACCCAATATCCTCACCGGTTCGATGACCGGTCTGATTTTTAAAATATTGGTTTTATCTTCTCGCTTTGCTTGGTGAAAAATAAAATTCAATATTTCCCGAGATATGTTACCAACCAACTGTGAATGAAGGTTGTTGTTTTTGAATTGGTGTTCTAATACAGTAATGCTCCGACCAAAAGATGTTTGTATCTGAATATGTTAGTTTCAGAGCATTTGGTTCACGACGTCCCAATCTCGACAAAAATCACTTTTACTATTTCCCAATCAATTCTTCAGTGTAGCATGTGCATATTCAACTTTGTTAGTTGTTGTATTGTCAAAGTGTCTAACTCGACCGGTCCAAGCACAAACAATATTCTCCTTCACCTGATCCAAAATAGTACTTTCAACATATTTCAAGAAATCTAGATATCTCGCACACACCCTCCTTAAATGTATTACAAATTCAGCGTATAACTCTTCTGTGGAAGAATTTATTATACCATTCCAGACATTCATTATCTTTTCCAACATCGCACCAGATTTGACCATTTTTTCATCTTCACCCTTGACTTTTTTGGTGCCTATAGTAGGTTTTAGTCGAGTTCTCACATTTTTGGTTATGTGATACTTACAAAGTAATGTCTACGATGAAAGAAACACCTTTGCTATCAGATTCATCAATGAGGTGTCGCGATCGGTGACAATTGCATTTGGCATGCTTTCTTGATCCTTCAACATAGTCTTGCACATTTCCTAAACTCATGTAACATTGTCCTCTTTTTCGGATTTCAAAAATGCAAAATCCACTGAAAAATTATTTTCCATTGTAGTAACATCAACAATTTTCAAAAGTGGAAGACTATACTTGTTAGTCTTATATGTTGAATCAATTATAAACACGGTAGGAAATGTGTTGAACAACTTGATGGAATAATAATGAGTCCAAAATATATCTTGAACAATGTCTTTACCCTCACAAATTATGTACCTAATATCATAGTAGTTATCATTCATAAGCTTCAACAATTGTTGCATCACGTTTCAACTTTCAAATCGGTGGTTGATACATGTCATTTCTTTTGCATCTCATTGTTACAAATGCATGCCTTCTATTATAATCATTGTAAGACCTTCTGATTATATCGTCAAACTCTAATTTATTGGCACTCATGCGGACCCAATGTAGCATATGTTCACGAACAATAAACTTTTATTTATTTGTAATTGCTCACGAACATCTATCTCGACCACAATTGGTTTAGCACTCGATTTAACATCATCCTTCACTTCATCTGGTTTGACACCATCATTTACTTCATCTGATTTAACATCCATCCTCACAGCAGTTTTGAAAAACATATTTGGATGTATCATATCTTATATCAATCATAGCAGAAAAACAAATTAAAAAATTAAAGTATTAAGTAAATTCGAAGATGCATCTCCTAAACACATGAAACTTTCTTCAGAGATGCATATTCAGATTCAACATTCTTTTTTTAACTCAAGAACCAGATTAATGCAAGAAATGAGGAATGAAATAAATAAACTTTACTTTAGATTTCAGTTTGTTTTGCTCCCTTTTTTATAATGAAATATAAAAATAATGTTTTGATGTTGAAAAGTTAATTAAGAATGGAAGAAATTTTTTTAAGGATTTTAAGAGTGGGGTTGAGTTTGATGATAAGAAAGAACATGCAAGATGGTGTATTCAATTTTGCATTCAGATATGTATCACCGAAATTGTCACCGATTGATAAATTAAACAAGCTCAATGAATAAAAATGTCATAAATGAGTTGAAAGGAATTTTACCAAGATAGATATCCGAATTCACCCTATAAAATATACATAAATGCGTCTTCAAAAATAATTTTGAGTTGAAAGGAATTTTACCAAGATGGATATCCGAATTCACCCTATAAAATATACATAAATGAGTCTTCAAAAATAATTTTGGCAAAACTACTGTGTTTGGCTTAAATACGATTATTAGTGTGATTTTAGATGCAACCCGATATGCATCTCTTGACCCCAATAAGATTGTTTTTTTAGTTTTCAAATATGTTGGCACACCCCATGGGATGGGATGGATGGGCATTCCCTTTCTCACATTATGCCAATAAGGTTATTTTTTTAGTTTTCAAATATGTTGGCACACCCCATGGGATGGGATGGATGGGCATTACCTTTCTCACATTATGCATGGCTAAATTCAACCCAGACCAAGGCCGAACTCGCAAAGATTGGACATTCAAAAACGGGATATTTTCATTTTCTACTTCACTCCGCAAAATATCTTCTTTTTTAAATAAATACCACACAACAGACAGCAACCTTCAAGGGAATCTTAGGTGAACGGGTAGTTATGGACTTATCATGAGAACCAGAATTTTCTAGTTCTTTCCCTTCACTTTTATTCTAACTCTCTCGGAATTGAGCCTCTTCAGAAAGTTGACACGCCACCCATGGTCGCAAGCATAGAATAAAAATTGTTAATTTGAAAAAGATTTTACACTCACTTGTAGCTAGCTAACTATGATAGCAAAATATCAGTCATAAATGTTTTTTCAGAAAGATTTCTACTCTTGGTTAACTAGTTAATTCTACTTTCATGATTGGTACTTACGTGCAAAATGAATCGGAAATTGCAAAGTTACAAGTGAAAAATATGGGCGACACAGCTGCTAACAATGAAACCAAACCATAAAAAAGTCACAAGGCAAAAAAAAATCTTTATAATTAACTAAAAATAAAAAAGGTTTAACAGCTTAGAATTGCATCTTGCTTGATTACACGTCATATTGGAAGGAATGACATCTTCTAATACAGTTTCCCAAGATACAGAGAGGACTGTTCTTCTAAAACCAAAACAAAACAGAAAGAAAAAAAAATAGTCTACGACAGTCATCAACAGTTCAAAGTTCTGACTATTCACATGATAAAAATTGCCACCGGATTCTCACAGATAAAGAAAACAGAGGCTTATCAAGATAACTAATTCAATCTTGAAGCAATACAGACTGAAAATGGTACACTATAATGCAGCCATCTTATATTTTAAGGCAGCCGCATACAAAGTGATGGTTGTGAGAACATAAATCCAGCAGAAAAGGAAATGTGTGGAACATACAACAATCAACCATATTCATGATTTAGACCTCAAAGCAAGCCCTGTCTCCACCTTCTTTATTTCAAATATAAGCATCCTCCACATTTTGAGAACAAACATTTCAGCTTCTTCATCTAAAATGACCTGAAGACTCTCTAGCATTTGAGATGCTTTCACATGTTCTTGTGTACTTGAAACAATATAGTCTGTCAGAGTATTTTCTTCTTCTCCCAAAAACTCTTTGATTTTCTTTGAAATCCAAGGTCTCATTCTGTCATGTAATTGATGCTGAAACAATAACACCATATCATCATTAAGTTAAAACATAAAAGTAAAATTGCATTATCTAGACTACACAAGCCAACATAATCAAAGCATGTACTAAAAAATGCAGTTTTAACATGGATAATGGTGCAAACATACAGGCTGTTCTTAAAGAATAAAATTTGAAACATATTTAGACTAAGTTCCTAAGAAAACCCAAATGCATAATACAAACCAACAAGAGATCAAATGATTCTCCCATTTCTAATCATTAGTTGTAAGTCCATTTTCTCTACAAACTTCCAGTGATTTTTTTGGAGGATCCCATCCCATAACAGTTCCTTCTATATAAAGCTAATGTAATTCTTAAATCTTTATCTCAAAACCCTTTCCCAATTACACTAATAGCCCCATATTAGTGATAGGAAATTGGGTATTTTGGGTGCCCAAGTCCCTCAATGAGTAATATGAGATGCTCGGTGAAGTACTGTAATGGTTTAGTTCTTCCCTCTAGATAGCAAGCAGGCTTCAAGGGAGTGTGTTACTCCTAGGCAGAAAGCAGAAATTTAAATATTAAGGTTTGTTTTGGAACATCTCAACAAGACAGTCACTATTTCAGCCACTACATAAAACTGCACCCCTACTGCTACAGCCTGGGCCTGATCCGGTACGCCATTGTAGTGTCACTGTAGCATGCTATTGATCACACTATCAAGACCAAATGATTACTCAATTCAAAATTCATAGATAAAAAATTAAGTACCTTGTCATACACCGCCCAGTCTATTTCATATGAAAACAACTCCTCCTTGGTCTTTGGTATCATATCAATTAACTGTTTTGCGTCCAAGAGCCTCCTGTGATCGTAAGTCTTGTTTTTCTCCAACCCATGATCTCGATCCCTGTCACGGTCAGAATTTTTCTCCCTGTGTTCATCTCTGTGGTGAGTGCCATCTTCATCACTCCTATCCCTGTCCCGGTGGTTAGACTTTTCATGTGAATGCCTACTTCTATCCCTTTCTCCATCCAGCCTCTCTTCTTTGAAATTGGTACTAGATATACGCTTGGCAAATTCTGCAGCTGCAGCCAAATTGGGTGGTGTTGGCCCAGAAGCAGTAGGTTCAACAGCCTGCAATTCCTCTGTTGAGTAATCAATTGGAACCAAAGGCCTCAATTTTTTATCCTTGTGCGCATCATCATCTTCATCTTCATGAAAAACAGAAGGGACGGTTGTTCTTTTTCCAGATCCAACCAGACCAAATCCCAACTTCTTCATAGGAGCATTCCCCCCACTAGACTGTGTATCGGTTGTGGCTACTGATGCCATGGTAGATTCATCATTGATAGTATTTAGTACATTACCATCACCTGTCACATAAAGCATGAACCACATTAACAATGAGAAAGAGAAAACAAGGAGAAAAGTAAAGATTAGGAATAATTACAAAAATCACCAGTATGATCTTCATGCCTATAATCAGCTACAGTATCTTGTACAGTAATAATATTCTTTATTTCACTAGTAATTTCTCTGGTAGTCGTAGTTTCATCACCACCGTTTACAATTTGCTCTGTCAACAGCTTCAATGCATCTCTCTGTCGCTTCAGTTGTTGATCCTCATCATTCCTCTTCTTGGCCTCAGCAATTTCCTCCTCTTCTTTTTGTCTGTCGGCCAGGTCATCTTCCTTTTCTCGCAGCCTCTTCTTTCTCTTTTCCTCTATCGCATTTCTGCGCCACCTCTTCCTAGAATCCCCATCATCATCCTCTTCGTCATAAAGTATTTCCTTTCTTCGTTTGCGTTCCCTGTCCTTCTCCTTTTCCTTTTCATACTGACGTTCTTTCTCTTTCTCTCTTTCCCTATACTCCCAATCCTTCAAATATACTTCAAACTGACGCTCAACCTCCTCAATCCTCCGTTTTTGTTCCCTCTCTTTTCGAATACGTTCCCGCTCAGCTTCTCTTTCATATCTCTCAAGTTCTCTTTCCTTTTCTCGTTTCAGCTCCCTTTCTCGGTCTCTCTCCCTGCTTTTCCTGTCATGCCTTCTGTCGGGGGTTTCGGGTCTATCATGTTCACTTGCGGGCTTATTATCACCGTTTGCATCTCTCTCATTTTTATCTTCAGCTGCTTCTGCAGAATTTGAAAAGCAAAACAGAGGAATAATAAATTTAAAAAAAAAAAGGAAAAAAATATTTTAAAAAAACTATTCTGCTGATTAGAATTGACTCTTCTGTGAACCATTCAACAGATGATAAATATAGCAACCAAAGTGTTTACCCTTACCACTCTTCTTTGTGTCCACATCAGAGTCGCCTTCTCTTGTTTTAGTAGGCTGTTCTGAAAATGAATCCACAGAACCATCACGAATTGGCGGCGGAGGTGGTGGAGGCAAAGGTCTTGTCTTCAACCTCTCCTCTATCATTGTCTTGATCTTTTCTAAAGTGTCTCGATCAGCTTCCCTATCTTCATCCGTAACAATCCCAAAAGTTGCCACATCATGGGATTTCTTGTTCACTGAATCATTACCCTCTTCCTTATTTGAGAGCTCCGGATCAGGCTTTGCATCCTCATTTACATCAGAAGGTTTTGCAACTTCATCATCTTTTTTAGCTTCTGCTGCCTGAGTTTCCTTTTCCTTTGAACTCTCAGTTTTTTTTTGTACATACCGCTCCAGATAGTTTCGCATAGCTTCATCTACATTGATCTGTCAGCAAAATATTGAAGATAAATGGCTAAAAGCCTCAAATACAAAACCAATGAAAGGAAAATATTTGCCAAAAGTTATTAGTATGAGAAAGCTGTGCTTCATTCACAGAAATTTAATACACTTTTTACTCACAAAATTGTATGCATTTACAAATACTGTGCCATGTTCACAGAATTTTAATACACTTTTAACTAGCACAATTGTTGATGCATTTACAAATGTCCAAAATGATCTGAAAGTTCAAAATTATGTACAACCCCGACCACATGAAGAAAACTATTAAGTCAAGAACATAAGCTACGTACCAACTCTGCATAAAATTAATTGAACAAATATAAGCAAGCTAAGAAAACTTACTTTATGCAATCAAATTGTTTTTTAAAAACTCCAATTATGATTAAGAAATATTTCATCCTTTCCTCTAGGCCATGTTCCAAATATTTGAGATAAAGTGAACACATTATAAGATACCAAATGTTTAAAATCCCTGTATAACAGAGGAACTTGAGTTTAAGCTTCATCAAACAACAAATTGTTCTCACTCCCAAAAACTAATTAACGTGTAGAAAAGTAAAAGTCAGTGTTAGAAGATATAAGAAAAGCTTGCATGTGTCTTAGTATTCCTTTGCTACTATCATGATTCGTTTCCCAACTTAATTAGTTGTATTAGTATAAATATGGTTAGTGCTCAGTCTTTTTGTGTAAAAACATAATCAGTCAGTCATAATAAAAACATGTTCATAATTCACAGTTTTTGTTCTTTCTTTTCACTCTTGATGTAATGCCAAATGGATGGAAAGAAACAATGAAATGAACACGGATGAATACCAATCTTTTTGTTACCACATCAGTTGTAAACTTAATTTTCAAGAAATGCAATCAAATTAATTTCAAATTCATTCAAATAAATCAGATCCTTCACTACAGGTATAGTTGTTTCCAAAAGCAAAATGTCATGTTCAAACCATTAAGCTTACAATATAATAAAAAAGTAGAGTTATATGCTGTGTAACATCAAATACAAATCAAAAGTAGTAGGAGATGAAGACATACCATTAGTTCTTGCCCATCAATGTTCAATTTGGTAAGGAGGCGTAAAGCACGGAGAACCCCTTCGGCAGTATCAAACTCATAAAACCCAAAACTTTTAGGAGTCCCACTTGATAAATCCTGAGGTCTTTTCCAGCTCTTGATATTCCCACATAACTTTAAAAAATAAAACAGAATAAGAACACTATAAATATACCAAAACATTCAAAGATACCGATTGTCCAGTAGTTAAGGTAAGAGGCTAAAAAGACAATAAATATAAATAAATATACCCTACTCCCTCCCCACTCCCCAGAGAAAATATCAAACTTAGAAATTTACTTTAAGCAGAGAAAGCATGAACTCATTTTCCACGGTTGGTGCAATCTTGCCAATGTAAACGGTGGTATGTTGCTTCTCAGCCGGAGTAACACTAGGAAGAACCACAGGTCTGACAATAGGAGGAATAATAGGGCGAATTGAAGGGATCCCTGCAACAGGTGGGCGTGAAACTGGAAGCACGTTGATTGTTCCAGGAAGGCGTGGAGGATATACAGGACGAACCATAGTTCCATAAGGAGGTGGATAACGAGGAATTCCTGTACATGGCAAAAAACATCTATGCATATATATTAGAGCAGATCATGAGGGAGCGTACACATAAACAAATAAAATATATACAACACTAAAGATATATACAGAAAAAATAACGTGACGAACAATGGAATGCGATTACCACACATCAAAAGCATAATAGAGATGGCAGCACAGCTAATAATCACCAGCTGAAACGACAACCTGAAGAAACAATAAAAAATACTATCGAGTTTGAAATTCATGGATGTCCAGAAAAGTGCTTACCTTTGTCTGACAACTTGAAACATAGCAGGCTTCTCAAACCATCTCATCCACCAATGGGAAATAGTAACTTTCATAATCTCATACACACTTAGTTTACTAAGGAAATTCTAGTTGAATTACAAGTTCTTTTCTAAATTAAGGAGCCCATGTTGCAGCATAAAAAATGGAATGAAACTTCAATTGAGAGAAATAATTGAAAAGATTGCAATACCTCGTGACAAAAGGCCAACGTGCATTCAGTTGCATACATGGTCGGCTTCAAGAATTCATAAAGCCATTCAAGGGAAAGTAGTACCCTTATAACTAGCAGAAAGTGGCCTACTAAAATGAGCACGACACAACCATACATTATGTAGATCGACAAAAGAACAACCTGTTTTTATTTATTTGAATTAACTTTCCACTATCAAGATCACTCTGTGTAAGGTTCCTTTCCAAATCATGATTTTAGTAAAAGACAATCAATAAACTAAGCAAATATATGCATACCAAAAATGAGTTGTAGAAGGGAGGGGTGTGTCTTTAACCAATATGAAGCCTTCCAACTTTTTGTCATCGTATTCAATAACACACTGTAGGAGAGAATTGAGAAACAATCCCGTCATCGATACCCCTTATCGTTACCATCAATAACTTTTTCTAAATCTATCCTAACATATTCAAATTGAAACCCCTCGCCGTTACATAAACAAAACATAATAGCTATCAATCTACCAATGCTAAAGAGGTTTGTTTTAGAATATACTAAACACACTATCTTCACAAAAATCACAGCACCAATGCAAATATATAAATCAAGATTCAGAGAAGCATTAATTAGATCAAATGCATAACTGCATACACAGGCAATCACAAAAACAGTAAAATGAAACATGATTGAACGAATGACCCACCTGCAGGGTTTAGAGGTCCTTGTGGGTGCATGGCGTAACCATTTGGGATAGGAGCATAGTGTCGCATAGCAGGGTTAGTCCCAGGAACCTGATACGACATCATCGGTTGCATCTGCGGCATCGGAACCGGCATGGACGAGCCGGACACGCCGGGAGGTGGATTAGGGTTTTGGTAGACACCGGCGGGATTGGGCAACGGAGTGAACTGGGGCACTTGAGCACCAAGCGGACGGAAGGACGGTGCCGACGGAGGCAGAACTCCGGGAATTTGTGGCGGGGCTCCGGTTGCATATGATAAAGCAGGAGGCGGAGGAAGTGACGGTGCAATTGGTAAGGATGGATTGGAATTAGGGTTTGTGGGGAGAGGCGTGGAAGAGGATGTTGTAGATTGCGATTGTGATGATTGGGGAGGTAGATCGGGTTGGTTGGGAACGGGGTTGGGAGATGGAGGTTGGGAATTGTGGTGAGGATTGGGTTCTAGGGTTGCGGGAGAAGAGGATGAATCCGCCATTGAAGAGAAAGGAATGAATGAGTCTGTGAAAAGTGTGAGTTTTGAAGAGGGTTACGAATTGCTACCTCCTTTCCAAATTATAATAAAAATAAGGTAAATTTTAATATTAGACCACAATTGAAAATTTATTTTATTGTGCATATCTATTAAATTATTTTATTGTGCATATCTATTAAATTATTTTATATTCCATTCGTCTCAAAATAAAAATTTAAATTTGTTAAGTTTGTTGCATATAAATTAAAAAATAATAATGATTAAGTAATTAAATGTAACAAGACTATACAACTATTCTTAAGTACTATTGATTGTTATAAGGATGTAATGTGATATAATATCTTAAAAGTTGTATAAATAATATTTATTAGATGTAAAATTGTTAAAAATTAATTATTGTTATCTTGAAAACATAAAAAGACATTTTTTTTAATTCAAAAGACTCTTACTTTGAGACAAAGAAAGTAATATCAACTATTTAGTAAAATCTTTTTTATTAAAAAAATATTTTTAAAAAATAATTATTTAAATGATTTAAATTTTATTTTTAACTTAATTTTAATTTTTTTTAATTTTGATATCCGATTTTGCGACCGACTAATTCAATAAAGAGACTCAACACAAGAATTGTTAACACCTAATAGAATTTGAACTCATAACTTTGAGAGAAACATACTATCAAGACTCAATCCTCCACCATTAGATCAATCTTTAAAAGTTGACTTAAATTTGATTAACTGAATTATTTATAACATGTACTTCAGTTAATTAATCATTTAAGTATTTTAAAAATTTTTTTGTTAAGTGCAGTTTAATTTGAATATATGATTCACTTAACAATATTTGTGCACACCTCTAAATAATATTTTTTTTTTGTAATCTCTAAAATTTTATTAAAGTATTTCAGTCATTTACATGTCCCACGTTTAAAAACTATGTATTGATATATTTATAATGACATGTGTTTACTCAACTTCAATTCTATAAGTCCCAGAACCATGAAAATTATTTTAAAAGGGATGGACGAGCTTGGATCGACCTCGAGTGTGATTGAAAGAATTTGTCACAATGATAGAATAAGCAATCTCCCTTTATTATTTGACCATCTCAACATTAATTGATTGAGAGGATTTGCTAACTCATAATTAAGATCTTACATAAAATTGGGATACGACATTAAGATAGTAAAATATAAAATCGCAATTAAAATAACAATATCTTATACAATTAACTATATAAGATCGAGAGAAAGAGTAACAAAATTATAAAACATAAGACTGTAATCAAAATCTTAAGATTTTACTAAAACCATAAATAATACTAACAATATTTTATATCATATCAATATTTTATATATATAGTTTTGCATAAGTTTGCATATTAAATATAAAGTCATAAAAATTTGCATAATATAGTTTTGTCTAATTAAATAATGGCCCTAATACATGTAATATTATATTTGTGACCTAAAGTTCTAACAATTTTTTACTTATCATAAATGTAATTTTACACACGTGTTAAACTTTATGAGCTCAAAATTTACATTTATATTCTTTAAGCATATCCAAATCATCTCGTTTATTGGTCATGCCGGTATACATAATTAAATTATTTTCGTTATATCAATCATAACTAAATGTGAGGGGCAAGGTTTCTTTACTATTTTTTTAATGATGTCAAAACTATGAAATTTCTTACTTGTGTATTTTGGGCGGTGTCACCTCGAATAAGCAATGCATCCATCTTTTTCAAATGCACATAATGATCCATATACATGAATCTAGGCATATAGGATCATACTCTATGTGTAAACTGTGTTTTAAATCATTTTTTAATGCATTAGGTAGACACATACTAGGTATAGGTCGCTCAAAATTAACAAAAATGGTGTTTGTGAGATTCTGGCATGCTTGCATCGACACACAGCTATTGTGTAGGTCGACGCATACTGAATGAATCTAACTTGTCACTCTCGGGTCTTCATGCGTCGATGCATGGTCTGGTTGCAGGTCGACACATAGCTTTATTTTATGCGCATGTTTGCTTTCTGACCTGTTCAGGTCAACGCACAGAGAGGTTAGGTCGACCTCTCGCACGTTGTAACTCATTTTTCTGCATCTTTGTGATTCCAAAGTCAGTTTTTTCTATTATTCTTTCATTATCATATATATTTTAATATGCATCATTTACAAACCAACAAGAAAATTAAAAATATACATTGAATTGCTCTTCATCTTCACTCTCGCACTTGCATTCTTCAATAATCACACATAATCATCATTGTTGAGGTGTGCTTTGTCGAGATGATAGCGTCAAAACTTAGGAGTTGTGAATCTAGTTTGGGTTGAGATTTCAGTGGGATTTTCTTAAATAAAACCATTGGGGTTTTGTCCTCAAAGATCTTGAGGGATTTATGGGGTTTTACACAAATCTTTGCATCACAGATTCAGTTGAGTGAAAGGCTTGAAGAATGATTAGTTTTGTCAAGCAAGTAACAGTAATCGGGGGATTGTGTTGAAAGATTTAGGGTTAAACAACATGCGTTCTAAATCATCCGAGTGAAAGAGTTGAAGAACGGAAGGTTTTGTCAAGTGAGTAGCGGTAACCAGAGGTTTGTTCAAAGCGTATGATACACTTGGTTCGGCTGGAGTCAAGGCGATAGAAGTGGATAGAATCAACATCAACAATTATTTTGATTGTGTGGTAGCTAGAACTTCTCTTATAATTGAATTTTGCAACAGATATTATACATATCTCAATTCTAGTTTTAGAATTGGCGGCAGACGTATCCGAAGCGAGGATGAAAGGGGAACTACCTAAACAAATTAGGCTTCTTGCTCTGTATCTAGGTGAGATCTAGGGTAGATACTTTCTAGTACAATGGACAAGGAAGGAGGTTTTATGAATAGACCATCCATCCTTGATGGAACCAATTATGATTATTGGAAGGCACATATGATGGCCTTTCTGAAGTCTATGGACAGAAAGGTTTTGAAGTCTGTGGTCAAGGGATGGGATCATCCAATGGTTAGAGATAATGATGGTAAGATTACCGATGTGTCGAAGACTGAGGAAGACTGGAATGATGAGATAATAAGCTCGCTTTGGGAAACTCCAAAGCATTGAATGCCTTGTTCAATAGAGTGGACAAGAACATCTTCAGACTGATGAATAGTTGTACTGTTGCTAAAGATGCTTGGGAGATTTTGAAGAATGCACATGAAGAAACCTCCAAGGTGAAGATGACAAGACTTCAACTTCTTACCATTAAGTTTGAGAACTTAAAAATGAAGGAGGATGAGAGCATTCATGATTTTCACATGAATATTATTGAGATAGTCAATGCCTCAAGTGCTCTAGGGGAGAAGCTGTCAGAAGCTAAGTTGGTGAGAAAAATTCTCGGGTCTCTCCTAAAGAGATTTGATCTGATGGTAACTGCCATTGAAGAAACCTAAGACATAGATGACATGAAAGTTTATGGACTCATGAGATCTCTTCAGGCCTTTGAATTAGGGACCAGTGAAAAGTATGAAAAGAAGAAAAGCATATCCTTTGTGTCTAATGTTGAAGACTCATAAGATAAATGTGAACTAGATACATATGAAGGTATATCTAATGTTATTGTGCTTCTTAGGAGGCAATTCAACTGAAGGTGTGAAAAAAACACAAGAAATTGGGGGTTTGAATTGAGTTTTCAAAAATGGAAGCTTTTGTGAAACTCAAACAAAGATCACAAATAGACTAATCAAGAGAAAAAGACACACGATATATCCTGGTTCACTTGAAAACTATCAAGCTAATCCAGTTCACCCGCTAGGGTGATTTTGCCTTATACACAAGAACTTAATCCACTATAATCAATTGATTACACTTTACTAGAAATCGGTGGTGACTAACAACACATACAACCATCTCTTCTTAAGGATTCTGACCCAACTGGTCCCTTAAGGAAATACAATATGCACTAGCAACCACTGGTGACTAACAACAAAGACTAAATGTCTCTCCTTAAGGATTATGACCTAACTGTTCCCTTAAGGAGTTACAAGCAATAGTTTGAACAAAAATGTTTACAATGAATTGCTTCTACACAAGCAGATATAAACACTATTAAAAGCTTAAAGAAACTATCACAGTATGAACAATGTTCTTTCTTTGTATTGTGGTGCTTCAATATTGTAGCTTCAGTTCTTCATAGATCATTCGTACTTCTTTAATAATCATTTTTGTTGTATGAATTGTTATGTCAATCTCTTGAATATTACACTCGTGTATCATGCTTATCTTCAAGTCATCAAGTCCTTATATAGCCAGAAAAAGATTCGTTGAAGGGCAAATCAGGAATATCATTTTTGATAGCTGGCGACTTGAAATGATATCGTTACGCAGGGATGAAAATTGTACACAAAAGTTGTCCTTTGTACCACCAAATCAGGGTAGTGGAATGGAACGTTGAAATGTAATACGTATTATTTTCCCTTATAAACGTTTGAGCTTATCTTCTGTACATCAAAGGCTTTTGAATAGAAATGATTGAAGCATGAGTAGAAGAGTTGATCACTGGGTCTTCAGACTCTTGAGTCTTCAGAACTTGTTCACCAGAACCTTGTCTTCAGAACTTTAAGCACTCGGTCTTCAGAACCCATGGTCATTAGTAACTTAAGTCTTCAGAACTTTGTTCAGCTGAACTTTGTCTTCAGAGTCTTCAGCACTTAATCTTCAGAAACTCAAGTCTTCAGAGTCTTTAGAACTTTGTTCAACAGAACTTTGCCTTCAGAGTCTTTAGCACTTAGTCTTCAGAAGATAAAGACTTCAGAAGCTAGAAAGCCTTCAGAAGTAAAATATCAGAGTCATGATCAGAGGCATATTGTCTTCTTGGAATCTTTATGATTGTGAATAGATCAGAAGTAGACTTGCTTCTTATAGCAAAGAAGCGACTTTGGTCAGATCAGAGTGATAATGCACATGGTCTCTATCAGAGTCAGAGCTTTCTCTACTAGAGT